TTGGGGGAATTATTTGGGAATTTTAAGGGATTTTGGGGGGATTTTCTGGGATTTTGGGGGGATTCTTGGGAGATTTTAGGTAATTTTGTGGAATTTTGAGGGGATTTGGGGGATTTATAGGGAATTTTGTGGAATTTTGGGTGGATTTTGGGGGATTTTAGGGAATTTGGGGGATTTTCTGGGATTTTGGGTGAATTTTGAGTGAATTTTGGGGAATTTTAGGGGGATTTCAGGTGAATTTTGTGGGATTTTGGGGGATTTATGGGGAATTTGGGTGAATTTTGGGTGAATTTTGGGTGAATTTTGGGGGATTTTGGGTGGATTTTGGGGGATTTTGGGTGGATTTGGGGTATTTTGGGTGGATTTTGGGGTATTTTAGGTGGATTTTTTTGGATTTTGGGGTATTTTGGGTGGGTTTTTTTTGATTTTGGGGTATTTTAGGGTGATTTTTTTGGATTTTGGGTTATTTCAGGTGGATTTTGGGTTATTTCAGGTGGATTTTGGGTGTTTTTGTGACTCACAGGCGGCAGGGACTGCACGATGTCGCTGTGGTAGATGAATCCCGTGTGGGGTTTGGTTAAATTTGGGGTATTTTGGGTGGGTTTTTTTTGGATTTTGGGGTATTTCAGGGTGATTTTTTTGGATTTTGGGTTATTTCAGGTGGATTTTGGGTGTTTTTGTGACTCACAGGCGGCAGGGACTGCACGATGTCGCTGTGGTAGATGAATCCCGTGTGGGGTTTGGTGGATTTGGGGTATTTTGGGTGGGTTTTGGGGTATTTTAGGGTGATTTTTTTGGATTTTGGGGTATTTCAGGGTGATTTTTTTGGATTTTGGGTTATTTCAGGTGGATTTTGTGACTCACAGGAGGCAGGGACTGCACGATGTCGCTGTGGTGGATGAATCCCGTGTGGGGTTGGGTGGATTTTGGGGTATTTTGGGTGGATTTGGGGTATTTTGGGTGGGTTTTTTTGGATTTTGGGGTATTTTAGGGTGATTTTTTTGGATTTTGGGTTATTTCAGGTGGTTTTTGTGACTCACAGGGGGCAGGGACTGCACGATGTCGCTGTGGTAGATGAATCCCGTGTGGGGCAGGACGGAGGTGGAGGAGAAGCCGGAGAGCGTTCGGCGCTGGGCCCCCAGCAGGAGGATGTTACAGGCAGGCAGCTTGGACAGCGGGGTCAGGCCTCCTGCCACACCTAAAACACCCCAAAAACACCCCAAAAATATCCCCAAAACATCACAAAAATATCCCCAAAATATCCCCAAAATATCCCCAAAAACACCCCAAAAATATCCCCAAAATATCCCCAAAACACCCCAAAAATATCCCCAAATCATCATAAAAATATCCTGAAAATATCCTGGAAATATCCAAAAAATATCCCAAAAATATCCCTGAAACACAGCGGGGTCAGGCCTCCTGCCACACCTAAAACACCCCAAAACCACCCCAAAATCACCCCAAAACACCCCAAAAATATCCCCAAAACATCCTGAAAATATCCCCAAAACATCACAAAAATATCCTGAAAATATCCCCAAAATATCCCCAAAACACCCCAAAAATATCCTGTTGGATTTTGCTGGATTTTGGGGTGGTTTTGGGTGTTTTTGGGTGATTTTGGGTTGGTTTTGGGGTGTTTCTGAGGGGATTTTGCTGGATTTTGGGGGGACTTTGGGGTGTTTTTGCTGGATTTGGGGTGTTTTTGTGTGATTTTGGGGTGTTTCTGGGTGATTTTGGGGTGTTTTTGCTGGATTTTGGGGTGTTTTTGCTGGATTTTGGGGTGTTTTTGTGTGATTTTGGGGTGTTTTTGCTGGATTTGGGGTGTTTTGGGGGATTTTGGGTGTTTTTGCTGGATTTTGGGGGGATTTTGGGGTGTTTTTGCTGGATTTTGGGGTGTTTTTGCTGGATTTTGGGGTGTTTTTGGGTGATTTTGGGGTGTTTTTGCTGGATTTTGGGGTGTTTTTGCTGGATTTTGGGGTGTTTTTGGGTGATTTTGGGGTGTTTCCGGGGATTTTGGGGGTTCTCACCCATGATTTTGGCGGCGGTGGAGGCCCCGAGGATGAGGGAGAGGTTGGGGGCGATGAAGGACATCCGGGACTCCACGTACTCGTAAATCCTCAGCTTGGCCCCGCTCAGCGCCAGCGCCATGTCACACGCGTCCTCGATGCGCCCCAGCTCCTCCTCCGACAGCTGCTGCCTGCTCAAAACCCAAAATACACCCCAAAAACGGGATCAGCCACCCCGAAAACCCCAAAAACCGCCCCAAAAAACCCCAAAAACACCCCAAGAACCCCAAAAACGGGATCAGCCACCCTGAAAACCCCAAAAACCGCCCCAAAAACCCCAAAAACACCCCAAGAACCCCAAAAACCACCCCAAAAACCCCCAAAACCCCAAAAAACACCCCAAAAACCCCAAATACACCCCAAAAACCCTAAATACACCCAAAAAACCCCAAAAAACACCCTAAATTCGGGATCGGTGGCCCCGAAAACACCAAAAACCGCCCCAAAAATTCCCTGAAAATTCCCCAAAATCCAAAAAAAAAATCCCAAAAAAATCCCCGAAAAATTCCTCCCAAAAAATTCCCAAAAATCCCAAAAAATCCCCAAAAATTCCTCCCAAAATCCCCAAAAATCCCCAAAAAAATCCCAAAAATTCCCCCCAAAATCCCCAAAAATCAAAAAAAATCCCCAAAAATTCCTCCTAAAATCCCCAAAAAATTCCCAAAAATCCCAAAAAAAATACCAAAAAAATCCCCAAAAATTCCTCCCAAAATCCCCAAAAATCCCCAAAAAATCCCAAAAAATTCGTCCTAAAATCCCCAAAAATTCCCAAAAATTCCCAAAAATTCCCCCCAAAATCCCCAAAAAATTCCCCAAAAAATCCCCAAAAATTCCTCCTAAAATCCCAAAAAAATTCCCAAAAATTCCCAAAAAATTCCAAAAAAATCCCCAAAAATTCCTCCCAAAATCCCCAAAAATCCAAAAAAAATCCCCAAAAATTCCTCCCAACATCCCCCAAAAATTCCCAAAAATTCCCAAAAATTCCCCCCAAAAGCCCCAAAAAATTCCCCAAAAAATCCCCAAAAATTCCTCCCAAAATCCCCAAAAATCCCCAAAAAAATCCCCCAAAATCTTCCAAAAAATCCCCAAAAATTCCTCCCAAAATCCCCAAAAATCCCAAAAAAATCCCAAAAAATTCCCCCCAAAATCCCCAAAAAATTCCCAAAAATTCCCAAAAATTCCCCCCAATATCCCAAAAAAATTCCCCAAAAAATCCCCAAAAATTCCTCCCAAAATCCCAAAAAATCCTCCCAAAATCCCCAAAAATCCCAAAAAAATCCCCAAAAATTCCTCCTAAAATCCCAAAAAAATTCCCAAAAATTCCCAAAAATTCCCCCCAAAATCCCCAAAAAATTCCCCAAAAATTCCTCCCAAAATCCCCAAAAAATCCCCAAAAATTCCTCCCAAAATCCCCAAAAATCCAAAAAAAATCCCCAAAAATTCCTCCTAAAATCCCCAAAAAATTCCCAAAAATTTCCAAAAAAATCCCAAAAAAATTCCCAAAAAAATCCCCAAAAATCAAAAAAAAATCCCAAAAAATTCCTCCTAAAATCCCCCCAAAATTCCCCCCAAAATCCCAAAAAAATTCCCCAAAAAATCCCAAAAAAATTCCTCCCAAAATCCCCAAAAATCCCAAAAAAATCCCCAAAAATTCATCCTAAAATCCCCAAAAAATTCCCAAAAATTCCCAAAAAAATCCCAAAAAATTCCTCCTAAAATCCCCAAAAATTTCCCAAAAATCCCCAAAAACAATCCAAAAAAAATCCCCAAAAATTCCCCCCAAAATCCCCAAAAAATTCCCCAAAAATCCCCAAAAATTCCCAAAAATTCCCAAAAATTCCCCCCAAAATCCCAAAAAAATTCCCCAAAAAATTCCCCAAAAATTCCTCCTAAAATCCCCTCAAAATTCCCAAAAATTCCCAAAAATTCCCCCCAAAATCCCCAAAAAATTCCCCAAAAAATCCCCAAAAATTCCTCCCAAAATCCCCAAAAATCCCAAAAAAATCCCCAAAAATTCCCCCCAAAATCCCCAAAAATTCCCCCCAAAATCCCAAAAAAATTCCCAAAAATCCCAAAATTCCCAAAAATTCCCCCCAAAATCCCCAAAAAATCCCCAAAAAATCCCCAAAAATTCCTCCTAAAATCCCAAAAAAATTCCCAAAAATTCCCAAAAATCCCCCAAATCCCCCAAATCCCAGAATTCCCCCCAAATCCCCCCAGAATTCCCGGAATTCCGGGATTTTGGCGACCCCTGGGTGGTGGAGGCGGTGACGCTGACGACCATGATGGTGGCGTTGGTCAGGATCTGCTGAACGTTCTCGTTGTTCTTGCATTTATCCAGGGAATTGCCCAATTCCTGCGGAATTCCACCCAAAAAACAAAAATCAGGGAGGGGTAAAAAAATAAACGGAAAAAAAATCTGGGAAAGGGAAAAAAACCCCAAAATTCCACCCAAAAAAAATCTGGGAATCAAAAAAAACCCAAAATTCCAACCAGAAAAATTTGGGAATCAAAAAAACCCCAAAATTCCACCCAAAAAAAATCTGGGATTTAAAAAAACCCCAAAATTTAACCCCCAAAAAATTTGGGATTTAAAAAAAACCCCAAAATTCCACCCAAAAAAATTTGGGAGTTAAAGAAAAACCTCAAAATTCCACCCAAAAAACAAAAATCAGGGAGGGGTAAAAAAATAAACGGAAAAAAAATCTGGGAAAGGAAAAAAAAAACCCCAAAATTCCACCCAAAAAAAAAAAATTTGGAATCAAAAAAACCCCAAAATTTAACCCAAAAAAATTTGGGATTTAAAAAAACCCAAAATTCAACCCCCAAAAAAATCTGGGAGTTAAAGAAAAACCCCAAAATTCCACCCAAAAAACAAAAATCAGGGAGCGGTAAAAAAATAAACGGAAAAAAAATCTGGGAAAGGGAAAAAAAACCAAAATTCCACCCAAAAAAAAAATCTGGGAGTTAAAAAAACCCCAAAATTCGACCCAAAAAAAATTTGGGAGTTAAAGAAAAACCCCAAAATTTAACCCAAAAAACAAAAATCAGGGAGAGGTAAAAAAATAAACGGAAAAAAAATCTGGGAAAGGAAAAAAAAACCCCCAAAATTCCACCCAAAAAAAATTTGGGATTTAAAAAAACCCCAAAATTCCACCCAAAAAACAAAAATCAGGGAGAGGTAAAAAAATAAACGGAAAAAAAATCTGGGAAAGGGAAAAAAAACCAAAATTCGACCCAAAAAAAATCTGGGATTTAAAAAAAACCCCAAAATTTAACCCCAAAAAATTTGGGAGTTAAAGAAAAACCCCAAAATTCCACCCAAAAAACAAAAATCAGGGAGGGGTTAAAAAATAAACGGAAAAAAAAATCTGGGAAAGGGAAAAAAAAACCCCAAAATTCCACCCCAAAAAAAATCTGGGAGTTAAAAAAACCCCAAAATTCGACCCAAAAAAAATTTGGGAGTTAAAGAAAAACCCCAAAATTTAACCCAAAAAACAAAAATCAGGGAGAGGTAAAAAAATAAACGGAAAAAAAAATCTGGGAAAGGGAAAAAAAAACCCCAAAATTCCACCCAAAAAAAATCTGGGATTTAAAAAAACCCCAAAATTTAACCCCCAAAAAATTTGGGATTTAAAAAAAACCCCAAAATTTAACCCAAAAAAATCTGGGAGTTAAAAAAACCCCAAAATTCCACCAAAAAAAAAAAAATTGGGAATCAAAAAAACCCCAAATTCAACCCAAAAAAAATTTGGGAGTTAAAGAAAAACCCCAAAATTCCACCAAAAAAAATCTGGGAGTTAAAGAAAAACCCCAAAATTCCACCCAAAAAACAAAAATCAGGGAAAGGTAAAAAAATAAATGGAAAAAAAATCTGGGA